TTTGCAGTGAGCTGAGATCACACCAATGCACTCCAGCCTGGGCAACAAAAGCGAAACCCCTCCCCAAAAAAAAAAAAAAAAAAAATGAAATGTAAACTAGTATCATTGTTCTCTTTGCGGACTCCTTACTCCAAGTTATGTACAAACAAAACATGTCTCTGAGCCTATGTAAAGAACTACATTTTCAATGAAAAAAAAAAGTTTTGAACTTAAAAGCAAAACTTTAAGACATTGTCCAACTTTAAATAAAACGTGTTAACATCTGACTGACTGCAGTGGCTCACACCTGTAATCCTAGCACTTTGGGAGGCTGAGCCGGGTGGATAGTCTGAACTCAGGAGTTCGAGACCAGCCCGAGCAACACAGTGAAACTGCATCTCTACTAAAGTACAAAAAAGTAGCCAGGTGTGGTGGCGTGTGCCAGCTACTTGGGAGGCTGAGGCACGAGAATTGCTTGAAACCGGGAGGTGGAAGTTGTAGTGAGCCAAGATTGTACTGCTACACTCTAGCCTGGGCAATTGAGCAACACTCCATCTCCAAAAAAATATGGTAACCACTGGATAGCATATTATCATGTTATACCTTTAAAAATTATTTTTTGGGCTTAGGCCAAGCATGGTGGCTCATGCCTATAATCTTAGTACTTTGGGAGGCCAAGGCAGGAGGATTATCTGAGGCTAGGAGTTCAGGACGAGCAGACTGAGCAACATAGCGAGACCCTGTCTCTACTAAAAATAAATAAAAAATAAATAAATAATTAGCTAGGTGTGATGACACATGCCTATAGTCCCAGTTACTCAGGAGGCTGAAGTGGCAGGATCGCTTGAACCCAGACAGTCGAGGCTGCAGTGAGCTATGATCATACCACTGCACTCCAGCCTGGGCAACAGAGCAAGACCCTATCTCTACAAAATAAATAAATTATTTTTTAGGCTTTATTCACTTTTATAATTAAAACACGCAAATCCACCAATTGTCTATATTTTGAAAATGAAGAATAAAACATACAAAAATTGTTTTCAGACAACGGTGTGAGATTGTCTTTAACTGAGAAGATGTTTAAGGAATCAATTTAGGATGCCAGGGGCAGTGGCTCATGCCTGTAATCCCAACACTTGGGAGGCCGAGGTAGGAGGATCGCTTGATCCCAGCAGTTCCAGACCAGACTGGGCAACACAGTGGAACCTTATCTGTACAAAAAATTTTAAAATTAGCCATGTGTGCTGGCATGTGCCTGTAGTCCCAGCTACTTGGGAGACTAAGGTGGGAAGATCACTTGAGCCTCAGAGCTTGAGGTTGCAGTGAGCCGTGATTGTACTGAGGGAACGTGTTCTCTTTCCGGGTCCACAAGGGGGCGTAGTTTTAAGGGCAAGAACTTCCTAACGCCATGCCCCCTTCCCATCTCTCTCCATACAGATGTAACGGTTTATGTTTGAATTTCGCGGGCATGGGAAGAAACTAAGAGTCAATCACTCCAGCAGAAGTTCTAAGGAACTCCTTTCATTGGCCTGGGGTCTTAGAAAAGGTGGGGGTTCCTCCCAGGTGAAAAGTCCCCTTCTTCCACATCCCTTGGGACTCCATGTTTGGATCCCCTTCCACGAACACTCCCTTCGTGGAATCCTGTCTTCCCCTCCAAAACTCCATCTCTATTCCCTTCCACTCAGGGAGGAAGCTGCTTTCCTCTCCTGGATTCCGTCTTTCTGGATTCTCTCACTCGGTGCGAGAGTTACTATTTCTTTCTCTCTCCTTCTGGCATTTACTGTGCACTGCGCAGTGGTCCCCACTCTCATTCTTGAGAGGGCAGGAGACCAAGAACCTGGAGAAACGTCCGGTCAGGGGCGCTGGGGGCACCCTGAACCCCCCTATTACAGTACCAGTACACTCCAGCCTGGGTAAAGAATATCATATCCAGCTTAGCACATAATAAAAATATTTCACAAAATCGATGTATTATATTAGCTAACAAATTCCATGTATTTTACTTAGTAATACATAGCAGAGTGGATGGGTAAAAAGTGATTAATCAAAAAGAGACTAACATATCCTTTAAGCTTTGTTCTTTCCTTTGACCTCCCAGAGCATTTTATGCATGGCATTTGAATAGTAGTAAATTCTGTGGGCCTGTGAGCTTCCCAGCGTACGGCAGGGTGCCTGGGATACAAATGCTGATCCAAGGACTGTTTGAATGCCCCTTTAGTAGCATAAGCGGTTATCATTACTTGCAGATGCAGCAATCCTAGAAATGGTGAAGATAGTGACCTCTAGTGGCAGAATACTGCACTTTTCCCCCATTTTTAATCACAAGTGATTAAAATTAAGTATTCCATTTTACTTAAAACTTCTTAGGTCGGGCATGGTGGCTCACACCTGTAATCCCAGCACTTTGGGAGGCCGAGGCAGGAGGATCACTTGATCCCAGGAGTTAGAGACCAGCCTGGATGACAGAGTGAGATCCCCTTCTCTGAAAAAAATAATAATAATAAATGTAACCAGGCTACTTGGGAGGCCAAGGCAGGAGGATTCCTTGAGTCTAGGAGTTTGAGGCTACAGTGAGCTGTGATCACACCACTGCACTCCAACCTAGGTGACAGAGTGAGAGCTTGTCTCTGGGAAAAAATTATTTTTTGAGGTGGAGTCTTGCTCTGTCACCCAGGCTGGAATGCAGTGGCACAATCTCGGCTCACTGAAACCTCCGCCTCTCTCAGTTTCGAGCGATTCTCCTGCCTCAGCCTCCCGAGTAGCTGGGACTACAGGCGTGTGCCACCATGCCAGGCTAATGTTTTGTATTTTTAGTAGAGATGGGGTTTCACTGTGTTAGCCAGGACGGTCTCAATCTCCTGACCTCGTGATCTGCCCTCCTTGGCCTTCCAAAGTGCTGGGATTACAGGCGTGAGCCACTGCACCCAGTGGAAAAAAATTCTTAAATGTAATAATGTGTTTTTCCCATTAATTTACAGAAAAACTGCATTCCATTCCCTGCCATATTCCTTACCTACCCCCAGCATCTCAGACCTTCCAGTGGTGAAGGCCTCCTTCTCCACTCCTAACTGAGAATGACCGACATACATAGCTTGTTACATCCCTGCCAGCCAAGATGACTGTACTGGGCTTTCCCTTCAGTGGTTTGTGTTAGGAAAGTCATTGACTTAGAGGTAAAGTTCCAAAGAGAAAATCATATGAACACTTTTTGGTCTACTCATACCTACCCTCAAGCCCCCTTTTTCTAGAGGTATGCATTCATTAAAAAACCCATACTTTCAGCACCTATACAACCGTTCTGTTTTTCACTTTCCGTATTCAACAAATTACATGAGCTATTAAATAATTTATTATTACGAAACAGCCTTTGTGTGAGATGATTTTGTCCAACAGCAGGCTAACGAGAGTGTTATGTGCATGTTTGAGGCAGGCTAGGCTGAGCAATGCTGCTCAGTAGGTTGGCTTCATTAAATGCATTTTTTACTTGTGAGGGGTTTATTGGAATGTAACCCTGTAAGTCAAGGAGCATCTGCGCATCTATGTTATGTTTTTAGTGAGAAGCAGAGTCACACACTCAAGCTGGAAGGGAGAGTAGCTCGTTTTACAGAAGAGGAAGTAGTGACTGGGAACAGGATGTCAGCATTAACAGCTGCTGCTTGGTCTCCCATCGATCCTGCAAAGGGTGTTAAAAAAACAAACAAAAAGTCCGGGCGAGGTGGCTCACGTCTGTAATGCAAGCACTTTGGGAGGCTAAGGCAGACAGATTATCTACGGCCAGGAGTTCAAGACCAGCCTGGCCAACACGGTGAAACCCCATCTCTACTAAAAACACAAAAATTAGCCAGGTGTGGTGGCCCAGCTACTCGGGAGGCTAAGGCAGGAGAATTGCTTGAACCTGGGAGGCGGAGGTTGCAGTGAGCCGAGATCATACCACTGCACTCCAACCTGGGTGACAGTGAGACTCCGTCTCAGAAAATACCAAAGAAACTTAACAGACAAAAAAAGCTGGGCACAGTGGCTCACGCCTGTAATCCCAACACTTTGGGAGGCTGAGGTGGGTGGATCACCTGCAGTCAGGAGTTCAAGACCAGCCTGGCCAATATGGCGAAACCCCGTCTCTACTAAAAATACAAAAATTAGCCAGGCATGGTGGCTCACGCCAGTAACCCCAGCTACTAGGGCGGCTGAGGCAGGAGAATCACTTGAGCCCAGGAGGCAGAGTTGCAGTGAGCCGAGATCGTACCATTGCACCCCAGCCTGGGCAACAGAATGAGACCCTGTCTCAAAAAAATTTTATTTTTTGGGGGGGAGAGGTATAATTCCTTTAGCCTGTCATCAAACCAGGTGTAGGTTATAAATACATTCAATCATCTGTTTTACCTGTGAAAACCAATTCATCGTGCAGGCAACTTTTCTCTTGCTTGAGGCGAATGATCTCTTCTCGTTGCTCATTATTTTCTGTTGTCTTTTCGTTGAGGTCCTCTTCACCACAGAAGAAAAAGAAAATCCTCAACTAAATACTAGTTTCCAGTCCTCAAATACACGCTGTGCCTAAGCCTTATGTCCTCGGTGGTCCCTTCCTATTAATCTGACAGTCCTGTCAGATCTATAGACAAAATCTGTTTCATAGCCAACATCTCCACCCCTGGCAAGGACCCTGGTTGGAGGCTTCACTTGCTCTCATCTGGCTGACCTCCCTGCACCAGCCTTGTCTCTCCTGTGACAGCCCAGTGTACACAGAGCAATCTTTTAAAAATCAAAATCTCCCAGGAGCAGTAGTTCCTGCCTATAATCCCAGCACTTTGGAAGGCCAAGGCGTACAAACCACTTGCGGTCAGGAGTTCAAGACCATCCTGGCCAACATGGTGAAACCCCGTGTCTACTAAAAATACAAAAATCAGCTGGGTGTGGTAGCGCACACCTGCAATCCCAGCTACTCAAGAGGCTGAGGTAGGAGAATTGCTTGAACCCAGGTGGCAGAAGTCGCAGTGAGCTGAGATCACGTCACTGCACTCAACCTGGACAAAAGGGCGAGATTTCGTCTCAAAAAAAAAAAAAAGAAAGAAAGAAAAAAGAAGGCTGGGCACAGTCGCTCACACCTGTAATCCCAGCACTTTGGGAGTCTGAGGTGGATGGATCACGAGGTCAGGAGTTCAAGATCAGCTTGGCCAAGATGGTGAAACCCAGTCTCTACTAAACATAAAAAAATTAGATGGGCCTGGTGGTGGATGCCTGTAATCCCAGCTACTTGGGAAGCTGAGACAAAAGAATAGCTTAAATCCGGGAGGCAGAGGTTGCCATGAGCCAAGATTGCGCCACCACACTCCAGCCTGGGTGACAGAGTGAGGTTCTGTCAAAAATAAACAAATCGGCAAAAATAAAAATTTATAATTTCAGAATCAGAAGTTTCTGCCCTCACTGTGGGAAGAAATGCCCAGGCTAGCCTGCTGGCAAGGAGAAGATGAAACGTGTGAGGCAGAACTGCCCAGATGAGCAGCTCAGGGCCAACTGCAGTCAGCCAACTCCCATTCGCCTCTAGATGCATGGGTTTAATAAATGCTAGGTCTGTCTGCCACTGAGATACTGATGTTGTCTGCCACAAAGCACGTATTTGCAATCAATAATGGTAGAAGTACCTCAACTAAGGCAGGATGACTTTACAGTATGATACACTATGCAGTTTTCCCCAACTCTGTTATTTATAAGATAAAAATTGGAGCATAATTCTATATAAATGAAATGGATAAGGCCTATATAAATAAAATTCCTCAGGCTAGAAATCGATCTATTCTCAAGCATAAGATTAAATGAACCCAAATGAAGAAATATATTTCCAGCCGGCTGTGGTGGCTCACGCCTGTAATCCCAGCACTTTGGGAGGCCAAGGAGGGCAGATCATGTGGTCAGAAGATCAAGACCATCCTGTCCATAGTGAAACCTCATCTCTACAAAAATACAAAAAATTAGCCAGGTGTGGTGGTGCATGCCTGTAGTCCCAGCTACTCAGGAGGCTGAGGCAGGGGAATCGCTTACACCTGGGAGACGGAGGTTGCCGTGAGCGGAGATCGTGCTACTGCACTCCAGCCTGGGCTATAGAGCAAGACTCTGTCTCAAAAAAAAAAAAAAAAGAAATGTATTTCCAAGATAATACATTAGTATCTGAAATGTAGGTCTCTTCCTTACCTTTTAGTTTATTAACTTCAATCTTAAGTGCCTTCAATTTCTGCTTATAATCTTGCTTTTCTTTCACAATACAAGTCTCCACCATCTTGGCATCGCGCAGAGCATGCTCTAGCAGTTTAAACTTACTCGAACAGTCTGAAATGTGATTGACTGCCTCAATAATATCTTTGTCCTAAAAACAAAATTTGAAAACAGTTATCCTAGATTCTTAAATTCCAATTAACCAAGAAGAAAAGATAACCCTTACTAAGCTCTTATTGTGAACCAGGTTCCATTCTAAGTATTTTTCACATATTAACTCACTTAATCTTGTTTTTTTTTTCAATTGAGAGCAGGTGCTGTTTATTAACTGACCAGCTTAGAAAAATAATCATGGTAGACACCTTAGTTCATTCTTCTAATAAGCCTGTTGATCTGATCCTCCCTGTGGCCAGCATCCCCACCTTCTACAAAACGGGTGGTCTTTTTTTTTTTTTTTTTTTTTTTTTTAGAGACGGTCGTTCGCTTTCTCTTGTTTGGAGGGCAAGGGCGCGATCTCGGCTCACCGCAACCCCCGCCCCCTGGGTTTAGGCAATTCTCCTGCCTCAGCCTCCTGAGTAGCTGGGATACAGGCATGCGCCACCATGCCCAGCTAATTTTTTTTTTTGTAGTTTTTTTTTTTTTTAGTAGAGACGGGGTTTCACCATGTTGACCAGGATGGTCTCGATCTCTTGACCTCGTGATCCACCCGCCTCGGCCTCCAAAAGTGCTGGGATTACAGGCGTGAGCCACCGACGGGTGGTCTTTTTCTATATTCTGCCTCGTGAAGAAGATAATATGAAGGGCCACAGGAAGTTGTTTGCTTCTTTGAAGCATTTTCCAACAGTATAGATCTCATGAATCAGATCTTCCATGCAGATGATGCCATGTTTACCAGGAGATCCAGCAATCAGAGCATTATCTGTCAATGCAATTTGCTTCTTTTTTGATTTTGCCATAACCACGTTTGTAGATTAGTTCATTTACTGACTTCAGATTTGGGTTCCCCCATGCAATATATGGCTCTACAATCCTCAGCATGTTCACTGAAGCCTTGTTGAGCTTCACAAAGGCTCCACTGAGGATCTGATGAAGGCGAAGAAGCTGCAACACCTTTCGGACCTTTGGGCTCACACCATCGATACCTCTGACCCTGATGACAAACGCCCATTTGGGTTCTGCAGGTACATGGAAGTTGCCAGCTTTCCTTGCCATCCTCGCCATTCAAATTTCAGCTTTGTACACCTGCCTATATTCCTTGTGATAGTGCTTTGCTTTTTCATAGATAAGCTTCCTCCTTGCCTTTCGAAGCATCTTTTGGGCAAGCGTCTTTCTCAGGGGCTTGACGTTCAGCTCTGCGAAATTCCTTCGCTTTTTCTTAAGGGTTTCTGGCACAGCAGGAACCTTCTTCCTCTTCTTCTCTTCTACACCCTCCACGGTTCCAGCCGGAAGGAGAGGCTAACTCACTTAATCTTTACAGTAACTCTGTGAGGGAGGTACCATTGTTCTTGCCAAGTGACAGATGAGTCAACAGACAGGCTAGTTCCTTGCCCATGGTCACACAACTAGTCAGTGGTGGAGCCACCATTTGAACCTGGCTGGCTGCCTCACACACTATGTACTGAGCCACTATCCCTTACTGTCTCAGAAAGTTAGAGCCAGACCGTTCTATTACCTAAGACACTATAATAGCAACAAGAGGGTTGGTGGGCCCTGGATGGGAAAGTCATCCTCTGGATTACAGGGAAGTCTAGTGGCCCACAATTCCCCCCACATTTTCCAGTTTGTTAAAACGACAGACTCCACGACAGCATCCCAAACCTACCACATTAGAATCTCTTCATTGTTGAGGCGGTTTTAGTTACAAAAAAAGGTATCTGCTTCTTGAAAAGCAACTCAAACAACACCTAAAAGTATAAAAGTAAGTAAAATTTCTATCCCTTCTCCACTCACCTGGAATAACTCTTTATTAAGAGGTTTTCCCCCTGCTACGGTATAAGTGTTTCCGGTACAGCATCACAAACGTACTCCTGAAAAGCCACATTGTCTGCACGTCTCACACTAGGAGGACTTCTAGAATAATCGGGTTGGGGCAGGCCATGAAAAAACCCATGGAATTTTGTGACCAGGCCAGTATCGAAAAATAAAAGTCCTGATAAGTACTGGAACACAGTGCAGTTAATGCCAGGAGAGACCTATGACAGTCAATCTCTCTCAGCCTTAAACCTGGGGCTCCTACTTCCTCCTTTGATAAGGATGTCCTGGAGGGCATCTGCCTCTAATGGAAACTGTTTTCGTCAAAGAAAATCTCTAGGTAGGAACACAGCTTTTTTTTTTTTTTTTTTTTTTTTGAGACAGAATCTTGCTGTCTCCATGCTGGAGTGCAGTGGTGTGATCTCGGCTTACTGCCACCTCCACCTCCAGGGTTCAAGTGATTCTCCTGTCTCAGCCTCCCGAGTAGCTGGGACTACAGGTCTGCGCCACCATGCCCAGCTAATTTTTGTATTTTTAGTTTCACCATGTTAGCCAGGATGGTCTCAACTTTTTGACCTCATGATCTGCCCCCCTTGGACTCCCAAAGGGCTGGGATTACAGACATGAGCCT